CTGAGGAAAACAGCATCTGTGCAATTGCAGACAGATGTAAACAGATAGAAGTGGGTGGTTCTAGTCAACAAAAAGAAATACTGGGACTTGGACCTTTAGCAGCAATATCATCCCGATGTTTTCCAGCTCCAGGAAATGCCCTTGGACACAAACTTCTGAATGTTTTTTTTTAAGAGATGTTAAGTTGCACAGGTACCTGTCACAACATCCTTTGCACGCTCACATTAAGAAAAATAGTTTGCATTTAATACAAACTTTGAAAATTTTCAAAAACTCTCACTTCCTGGCTCTGTTCACCACACAGCCCTGTTACCCTTGGCCGCTCCTACCCTCCCTCTTATGACGGAGCCTGCTTGTGCCAGCTGGAACCCAAATGTCTGCTGCAACTTACAGAGAGTAACTGGCTTGGAACCTACTACTTGAAAGAGTGAAAAATGAACAAGCCTTGCTGTGCTGGGCTCTAGTTTTGTGGCTGTCATCAATAGCTCCTTCTTGAAAAAGAGCACAGTCAGCTGAGCAGCCAGACCAGTACCAGTACTAGCCTGGATTGTGAGGTTAAGAAGATGAGACCCATCTTCATGAGTTTTACTTGTATGCCTTTGAAGTACTTCTACTAATTATTGGCAGAGCCAGCACATAATTTTCAATGAGCTTTCATGTCACAGCCACTGCATAAGGATCTACATCATTATTACTTGGGATGCTAAATACAACTAAATACTTGTCAAATTATTTATTGAGCAGTGCATATTTTAAAATAATTTATAGCTGGTTTAGTAACGTCAAGTGATGAGATGTGCATGTATGAGCACTTCGCTTCATGACATGAATGCAGTGAAAGGGTTTTCTTTTTCTGAAATACCAAAAAGCACCTGCGTTCTTAACCGTTACGTAAACCTTTAAAATATGCTTACCAAAATACCTTTAATGTCTACCAATACTGCATAAGGTGGGACATCTGTAGAGTGAGAAGGATGATTTACTGTGCTTTTTGCCTAGTCATGTGTTTTGATTTTCACGGAATCTAGACAGAGCTATGCATTCACAGTGATGATTCAAGAAATTATGGATTGCACTTAGTGTTATTGGCTCAAATTCAAAGTAACTTCCAGTTACATTGGCTTATTGCATGTATGCACAGAGACTGCTCCTCATTGCTCAACAGCAAACATTGAAACTAACCACCCAAAATTTACCTATTGCTACTTCGATGCCAGCAGGAAATGGTTTAATTTTCATTATGTCTTATTTTGGAGAATCTTGTTCACTGCTTGGGAATTTGCTGAGTACCTCCTACCTTCCCAGTGCCATGCGCCGTCAGTGTCAGGCAGGTCATCTTCTCCAGAAATAAGGTACTACTGTACTGATGATCAATTTTGCATCTTCTTATCATTAGTACAATAGATTTACAGGCAAGTTGTAGCCCTGTAAAATGGGGCTACATTACAAACTGGCAAGTTTTTAAAGACTTAACACAAAAGAAGCCACAAACTTGCATCCCAAATACTAAGACTATAATGCCTTTGAAAGTGTTTTGTGTCCTGATGTAATTGTTTGTGCTCATGGAACTGCACTATACCACTAAATCAGAAATTCAGTCCAGATTTCATGATTCTATCATCTTAACAACTATTTTCAAGGAATAGGAAAATGGGTAAAAAGTAAATATAGTGCATAATAATATGCATAGTTGTGCATAGTCTTCTATGATAGCTGTGATCATAAAAAAAGGGATACGGAATAAGGAATGGGAATTTCACTGTTGAAATTAAAATAAATGAAATATTCCCAAACTGCAAAATCCAGGATTACAGTGTGAAATCTGCACAAAAAGCTTTCAATCAGTGCGAATGTGTACTACACCCAGCCCTCTTCCATTAAACTGTTTTTACAAGTGTAAAAACCTAATAAACTTTGATAAACCCTATTCTGCTTCCTACTAGTTTCAGAAGGGGATACAGTACTTTTTTATTTTCCCAAGACATATAAAGAAAGTATAGTCATTCCATTAAATCTTTTGAGTGGCATGAGACCTTCATAGAAATGGAGATTAGAAAATACAATAAAGTGGTGAAGAGCTATAGAATCCTAGTGAAATTCAAAAATAACTTTCCATTCTTAGGAAGGGTCCCTATTCACACACTTACACACAAAATAGAAATAGCACTAAAAAAACCAGGCTTTGAAAATCAATATTGTATTTAATTGACTCTCCCCCCCATCTGCCTCCCCTCCAAAAAAAACCCAAACAAACAAACAAACCCCCAAAAAAAGACAAGGAATACTGAAATCAGAAAATTTGTGCTGTAAAGAAACATGTATTACACTTAGTAAGAATGCATCACTATGTAGACAGGGCAAAATTTCCTAACAACTTAACTGGATCTGAAGGGTAGGTTGTTTTTGGTATATCAAATCATGGCAGAGTACAGTGCTACCTGTGATGAAGACAATGTTCAGAGACTTGATTGTTCATGGAGCACCTTCTCACTTTAAACAGGCACAGAAATGATGAGTTGACTCATACAACTGTTTTGGGCAGCTAATCAGATTAAAGAGTAAGTGCAAACAGGCCTCCTTTAAAGGCTTCTCTTTCTTTAAGAGTTTAAACCACTTTATTTCTTATAGATGGTTATATTAAAATATCTGCTCCTCAAGACACACCTTTGTAGACAGTACTTAGCTTCTATAACTTCAATAATTAAAGAACACTCTAGATGACTGATACTTCTTTACTCTATCTTGATCTTCTCTTCCCTTTAGAACTATCTTTTTTCCTCAACAGGCAATTTCAAGAACTTGCCATAAGCTAAAGAATTTATTATCAGTCTTTAAAACAATATAGCAAGAAGTTTAGAGTTGTAGATTATTGCTTAAGGAATTAACTTTGAGAGCGTCAAATACAAAAATTGAGCCAAATACGGAGTAGACCTTGCAGGTATATTTAATGCAGATGTGCATATTATGATGATTAGTTGTACAATTATGTCTTCTGCTGATCACCACAGTAATCTGCATCACAATTCAGAAAGTAACACACATACCAGCTGCAGTCAAAAGGAAAGAAATCCTGTACATGAAGGTTTCCAATGTATTTTTTTAAAAAAACTTCCCTTGAAGAATCCTTGCAGAAGACTCTGGTATACACAGTAAATCAATGCCACAAAACTGCCAATAAAATTAGAATTTAATCCACTTGGTAACTAAAGGGTCAAATGGCATGAAAAAAACGCCAGTCTGCAAATTACTTATTGACACTGACAGGTTACTCTTCAGACAATTTTCAATGCAAATTTGTCCGTAGGCTGCAAGTGTTTTTCTACAGTAAATATAATTTATGAGAAAGAAAAAGGGTAGGCCACCAACTGAAAGAAAACATTTATTGAATTAAAGTCAATATTTTCCTTTTAATATCTACAAGCTAGCACTGAACTGACTTTATTCAAGAATGAACACACTGTACAAAAAAAGTATGTCTGTTACAAAAATATGTGAAACATCTTTTTTTTCTTGCCATTGAGCTGAAAACATTTGACAAGTGCAAGACAGGTTTGGCAAGCAAATTTAAGCTGCTATTACCAATGAGACACTTCAAATAATTTTGTAATTGTGACATATTTAAGGCTCATTGATAAAGTGGCATTGAAAATGTTGACCCCTAAAAACCATATCAGTGCACCAATACATGTTTATGCCTCCAGACAATTGAACAACATGATCTTCTGTTGTCACAAATCAATTAAAAAAAAAGTACTTTTTTATCAGTGAAGACTATCCAACCTAATTTGAACTATCAAACAGATAATTGACACCTACCACTGGAATATAACCTAGAAAAAGCAAACTACCTCTGTGGCCCTGTTTTTTTGTGTGTTGCTTGCAAATTGAGAGAGAAGAGTAGCTGGGTTCACACATGTTTAAATCAACCTGACATCTTTTGCAATCTGAAATCAGGGAAAGGATGGGGGGAGGGGGGGAGAGGACAGCAATCTGTATTTATGTTTTTTCTGTGTTTAAGCTTTAACACATATGTAAACACAAGTGTTTAAGTATAAAAATGAATTTTACTTGGCTCAGTTACACCTCATTTATTTGGATGTGTTTCTTTCACACGAAAATTTAACTCAACCGAAACTCAAATCACTGACTTCTCTCAAACCACCAACAAGGATGGGAAAAAGGGACCATTTACAGAGATAATCTGAAAACAGTGCAACATTATAATACAATTTCACAACATGTGAAAGAAACATGCTTTGGAACCTGAGCAAAAGGCATCTTATTGACTTTGTAAAAAGTCACCCTGTATGCTGTTTTCATTGGCATCTGTTCTGCCGGATTAGTATGTTGCTCTTAGCAACTTCCATGGCCTCGAAATATTTCGTACACAGAAACTGCCAACTACTCAGAGAGGTCTACTAAACTTTTCAGCTGATGTTGCAGGCAGTCTGACATGCTGCTATTGGAAATGACCATAGAGCCTAAAATTAAGACAAAATTGTCAAATGAAAAAGAAGCAGCCAAACGTGATGCTTTTCCTTTTTAAATAGACTAAAGCGCTTCCACAACACTTAGATACAGCACTACACTGGTTTACAGTCTCAAGGTCAACTCTTTCAAAATAAATATACTGAACATTTACAGCAAATGCTTCATGAATGCAAGCTCTCTCTTTATTATTACAAGACCAGCTGGACAGAAACCAAAACAAAAACATAACTCTGAAGCAACTAAGTTGTAAGTGATTTTTCAGAATCCAGCATGACTTGGTGCCACAGCAAAATTTTTCACTTGTCTGTAGCAGGCCTTTTTTTTACTTCTAGCACCAAGCAGGCCAGCATACAAAGCAACTTCACAAAGCATGCAGTCATCTATTCTGCCTGCTGGTCTCGTATGAAATTATCATTTGTGCTTGCAGGTCCCAGACCTTTTAAAAATGGGTATGAAAAATGATGAACTGAAGATGTCTGAAGACATTAATGGAGCTCACTCATTTCTAAATTATTTGAGTGGAGAAAAGATTTAAGAACTAAAAAGCAACAGGATGCTGTGCAGTAGTATTTGTGAGGGAAGCTAAGGTTCGTGCTTTGCTTTGCCTTAGAACAAACAAAAAACTAATATGAAACCTAAAAGACTCTATGTCAATGATACGGGTAGAGGCCAATGTGTGCAAGCCACTGAAAGGCATGGTTGGACCAATCTGATAAATGGCATCATCAGAGCAGAACAGCAACTTTTCACTGGAGTAATCACAAAGAGTGAACAATGAGCCATCACTTCTCTTGTCATGAGCACAGAAAGCAGTCACCAAGGCAAAGGAGGGGACACCGGAAAGAAGACACATGGAATCACATAAACCTGGAAGACAGAAAACACATTAAACAACTTTTGAACACTCTGAGTTACCATTTTCCTACTGTAACATTGCTATCCATTGATTTAATACCATATGCATTATATATGCTTAAATGGATGGAACTGTTGCAAAAATGGTACCCATATATCACAAAATTCTTCTGAAGTTTGTTACACAACTAACTTCACTTGCAAAGGTTTGCCTACACTATCAACTTAGCTATAAAAAGAGCCGTACCAACAGATTGATGCAGTCAGGACAATCTCTTGTTCATGGTGTAAAAAAATTAACATGCTTGGATGATACTAAATTTTTTACTCAAAAATGCATTTTAAAATTGGGTGTCACAAAGACATTGCTATTTACAGAGTGATAATTATCAAGTAATATGATTGTTCTTCCTACTACTCTAACTAAAATTACAGTACTACCCTAAAAAACAGAGTGCAATACTTACTGGAAAGGTTTCCCCAAGGTTATCCTGCCTTTGTATCTACAAATTGCATCTGAATATTTGCAGACATGCCACCTCCATAGCCTCCCTTGGACTGCATTTGCTTCTGAATTGAGCTTACCTGGAGACAGAAAGGAAACGGGGCAGCGAAAACAAGAAAGGCAGTTAGTGAGCTATGGTGTCTTCTTGCTTCCAATTTTATTTTTTGTTTAGGTTTGGTCTTCAAGTACTCCTTTACCATTAAAGCTACATTACTTTCGCATGAGGACATGGATAGTGTAGGCTTGCTGGGTTTTTCACTTCAGTAGGCAGCTCAGCAAGGGAGATGGAAGAACTCGTGCCAAGGCACAAGTTTTTCCCTTTCTCCCAAAGATAACTGGCTGATTTAGGCTTTCACTGACCTGAATTTCACTGGTCAATTGCTTAAAAAAAAAAAAAAAAAAAAAAAGTCAAAGCTTTTACTGGCACCCAACTCCACCTCAACTGACAAGCTGTAATTTATCTTGTTATATGGAAAATGTTCTTTGCCAATTACGATAAACCAAAGAAGTTGCCATCATTACCTTAAAAAATATAATAGCTTACAAAATATCTGGATAGTTTCTGCACTGCTTGGCTTACTTCAGATAATTAAAGGACTTTCTAAACTTAAAAGGAGATTTTCGTTTGTGGAAAGTTTTTTATTTTTCTATTTATGTAACAATGTACACTGCTTTCCTTAATTTCCACTTCACCTTTAAGTGGCAGGGCATTATTGTTTAAATCATACTCAATCTATCAACTTCCCTGAAAACAGCTTATCTAAACGTATTTTCAGCTTGATGCAAATGAATACATAAAGAGTGCTCCCCTTTCTCCCCCCAGGACATGCACATCTTTCTATGGCTTTTGTTGCCTTTACCAACAAAATGGAAGGGAACCCAGAGCTTTTTTCAGCCTGTGTTGCCCAAGTCAAAACAATCATCTCCAAGTGCTCGCAGGAAAACAACTCCAGCCTTAAAGGTTTGGCTTTTTTCTCTTTGCACTCCAGAGCATATATGACAAGTACACAATGAGCACAAAATAACATACTCATTCAACACTACAGCTTCTGAAATTGAACTTGCAGCAAAGCATATGCCTGCAGGGCACTGCTTACAATTATTGCATCTATGTTCCTTCATAGAGACCTCAGAAAATCACTAGAAAGCTGTATTAAAAGAGCACTGGATAAATATTTCTGAGTGGCTTGCATTATACTTTTCCTGTCTACAAAGAAAACAGATGCATATTCTTTTTCACAGCAAAGCAAAACACATGCACTCACAAAATCAATCAGCACAACTCTTTCTTACAGTTTCTCAAACCAATGTGAAAAAAAAAGAACTTGTTTTGGGATCTTTGTCTTCAACAGTATTGCATTGCTGGGCAAAAGACCTGATTTTTACCTGTTTAAGCAATGTAATGTAAAAACATTTTCTAACTTGCTGCTTTGCTCAAAGAAGTCATACAGCTGTAGCAAAGCAATGTTATATTCACATTTTTCTTCAAGGAAAAGTGTTCAAAGCCAGTACCCCAAAGAGGGTCTGACAAGAGAAACTACAGACCCACTAAGGAGGTCTGGAGAAGTGTAACCACATTCATAGGGTGGTGTTTGAGAACTTTCACGTTTTAAACCAAGTTGGTTATCTTCTTCACCAGGCATCTGCTGTTGCTCACTGGAGCAAAAAATGTTTGAAATTAGTACTTCTTTCCTCATAGAATAATTCATCTATATATAAATGCAAGCTCAAGAATGGTTTGAGGATGGCATTAATTTGATCTGAATGGACTCTGTCTCTAGTGAAAAAGAACTAGAAAAACATCTCCAGGCCATGCCACTTTCCAGCCTGACAACCTTCCCACATGACTTCAAAATTCTGGCAAAGAGCAAATTGACAGAAATTGTTAGGCTAAAATGTAAATTTTTAAAAGTACTTAATCTAAATAATAGAATAATTTCTCTGGTACCTGAGTCTGGTAATTGAGTTTAATATGAAGGTGATAGATCACTGGAATGGGTTGCCCAGACAGGTGGTGGAGGCACCAACCCTGGAGACATTCAAGGTCAGGCTTGATGAGGCTCTGGGAAGCTTGACCTAGTTGGAGGTGTCCCTGCTTATGGCAGGGGAGTTGGACTAGATGACCATTACAAGTCCCTTCCAACCCAATACATTCTATGATTTTCTAATTCTATTTTGTATATGAAAACTTATTCAGCAGACGTGCAATGTTAAAGACACTGAGCAAAAAGAAGATCTAACAATTGTAGTCTTATAAGGTGGTATTTTTTCTGAAGCATCCTCTTTGAGGATGTCTGAGCAACAAGAAAAAGGACCATTGAAATGCAATTTATTTTTTTCCTTTTCCAAAGATGCCATTGCCTTTCTTTGATGATACATACCAGCAAGGTTCTTCTGTCTCATGTCTAATTTAGATAGGGATAAGGATTTAAAGATTTTGGAAAAGGATTGCACCAATTAAAGTTTATGCAATCTACTATGCTGCTATCTCATTAATTTCTTTCTTTCCTTTTCTTCCGCTCCCTCCCCCTCCCCCTCCCCCTTCTAGAATTCGGAAATAGCACAGATGGTCCTTGAGAAACAAGGGAGAACTAAGAAAAGGATGGAATACATGGCATCAAAGATTAAAAGGAGGAATATGAAGAAAGTGAGGGATTTCACCATGGAACGTGAAATTAAAATAAGAGAAATTGGTGGGAATGAGAAAGAACTAGGGCACAGAGGGCTCCTGCTGTTTAAGTGTACCTTTGGCAAAGAAGCAAAGTGCTCTACAGAGAAGGCAAACAAAAATGCATAATATTTCAGCAGACAGAAAACTATTGCACTTAGAATCATAAGGCTATGTAATGAAGAACAATGCTGATGAAAGTAGGTAGAGAGCAGACAGTGGATAAAGAACCAAATTTTTAATGGGAAAAGCTAATAAAATTGCAGGAGGTCCTCCTAAGGTATTCAGAAGAGAGAATACACAAGGGGTTAATGAAGGAATGCAATGTCCATACTATAAAGAAAATTAAATGACAGAAAACCATTTGGAGGTTAACCCTGTAATTCTGAAACTTACACTGCGAAGAATGAACAATGAGGCTAGATGCAGAATTAACACAGCAAGTTAACACAGAAGAAGCAGGAAAATACAGTGTGAAAAAGTGCAGATCTGTGCTTCTGAAGAGAGAGGTAAAAAAGCATTAATTTTACATAAAAATACTTTCTGTCCAGCCACTGATGCAGCACATTATCCAATGGAAAAAAGTGAGATAAAAAGACAGCCAGTTATGAGCATTCAAAATGAGAAAGTCTATGTAGATAGACAATAATAATTACCTACTATCTGGAGAGGAACTGGATATTAACACAAGACAAAGGTGAGGGCAAGGGCAAAGTCTGAGGCGAAAGACCAAAGCTTCAGGCAATCACCACAACCCTCACATGAGGCAGTTCAGCTGTGAGGAAATCTAGTCTCATACGATGATTTTCAGTATCTATTTTAGCCTCTGTTATTCACTTTCACAGAGATAAAAATATTTATTGCTGCTATCATCTGCAGGAAACCACAAAACTTTGCCTGTGACATTGTTGCTTGCTCTGGAAAAAATTCCCTCTGCAAATAGGGCTGTAGTGTAAAGCAAATCCTCAACAAGGACAGCCAAAAATATTTGTGTGCACCATCAACCAAGGTAAGTTAGAGTTATACATGAGTTATATTTAAAATAGCTTGAGATCTAAGAGATCTAGTCAGTTATTAAGACATTTTTAAAAGCTTTCTCTAATATATTTGCAAACATCCTTCTGTTTTAGTTCATACAAATCATCAGAACAATTTTTTTTTAAGTATTCTACACATAGCCTGTACAATATATATAGTTATCTGCTATGTATTATCAATATAGAGGAATTTGAAAAATGCTATTCCATAATCTTGAATGCAGGTGTTTAGGACTTTGAATCAAGATGCTAGCAGATTGTTCTTCAGTTATAGAGACTCTGTCTTACAGTTGAAAGATTCATTGCTACAGCCACAGTACACATATACAGTGTTTCTGTATTCTGTCTAAAAAGAAATATTCTGTATCCACTCATGCTTACCGAATTCATTCCACTGAATAGGTCTCCTGATCCTATGTGAGCTGTGTGAACAAAGTTTGTTGGCTCCCCAATCATACTTCGGTCAATCCGCCGTCGTCTTTTCTGAAAGGATGGTAAAGAAAACATCTGAGAGTCACTGAAAAGGCAAAACCAACGTGTGTCATAAATGTAAAAGTTAACTGTCCACAGAATATTTCATAAACTGTAAGGTATTTTCACAAAGAGCAGAGTGCAAATTCCCAGGTTAACCAAGACACTGGTAATACTGTCCTTTGTTTTTACTTGGGGGATCTATAGTAGATCATTAGACCAGCACTGACACCAGTCCTAGCATTTAGGCTAAAAAAACTTTTGTAAATAACCTCACTAGATTCCATGGTTTACTAAATAATATTGGCAATGTTTCATACAGTAAATTCTGCCTGAATTTCTATTTAAATCATGATGTGACAAATCAGATTTGAGTTTTAGTCAATTAAGACTGAAGAGCATTAGTATAGGCTATGAAAGAACTAATATACATTATTCCTGATTTGCATGGTGTGGGAATTTATATCACTATTTGTGGTATATTTCACGGTGATGCTCAGAAAAAATGCCTTGAGTTTGATCAGGCTGAGTCACAGACATGTCCTTACTGAACCCTTTACACTCAGATATCTTTCAGTCTGTGTGGTTGTAAAGTGTGAGGTGAAGGGGTGCAGTGTGACAGAAAGGCAGGATGCCAGACTAGGGCTTCCGACTCCTGTGCCGTGAGACAGAAATCAAGAATTCCTTAACTTCAGCCTTCTCTTTGTCACAGTCACAGCTTCATTTTTTAGTAATGTAATAACAGATAAATGAAAAATTGAAGGCAGTGAGGACTTCCCCTAGTTAAAACTGATTTGGTTGCCTGCCTCCAGCTAAGCACCCCATCTAAAGGAATAAAACAAAAAAAACCTTATCCTCACTTTTTAGGCCAGAGCCGAGGAGTTTACACGGAACAAACCATGCAGTATGCAGTCACCATACGCCCATATCATGTTTTTGAAAAACAAAACAAAACAAACAAACAAAACAAAAAAACCCCAACAAACTAAACCCACAAAATAAAACCAATAGTCATGAAACAGTGTAAATTTCTCAGTTCAAGGTGTGCAGCTTAATCACTAAGAAACTACTTGGGCCCAGTTAAAAGCTTCTCATCATCTTAAAATCCACTCAGTCTCATTTTTAAAGTGATCTTTGATTCTAATATCCAATGAGATCATAACACCACCCGGACTTGCAACACAAAGGTACATGCCTCATGAATGGGATAGTTTCTATTGAAACACAGCTACAGATTAAATCTCTATGAATCAGAGCCCACAACTATGAGAACACTTCATGGGGTCTTGCCAGCAAGTACAAAACACATTTAATCCTTTCCTGTACTTTTCCCTATTACTAAAACCAGATTTTAGTAGGTTTCATTACCTTACTGCATCATATTAATAGCTGGGGTGAGGAGTAGCAAATAAAACACTCCCACAAAAATAACAAAACAGAATGACTTGAGCTACGCCAAAACTATGAGTGAGTTTGTTGCTCCAAACAAATCTGACAAGTTCAAACAAAGGAAATAATCATAACGTCTTCATGTAGAGGGCTTTCACAGAGAAACTATTTATGGAAACTGTCCAAGGTGTCTCAATTACAGAAAACTTTAGTAGAGTTCAAAGAACCATAAATAGTCAGAACAGAATCCTATTAACCCTATTACCATGTCCTACCAAATCATTAATATTTCAATCCGGATGTCAAAGTCAGCCAGACATACAGCAAACAATTTATTAAGTTATGCACGGTATCATCTAGTAAAGCATAAATGACTAACTTGTGGGGAGAGACCCCACACCAGGTTTATGTGGTAGTCCGCTGGATGAGGACTGCCCATCTGATCTGGTCAGGACAAGGAGCATCTCCAAGCAACATAATTTAAGAGGCGTGTTGCTGTACTGTCACAATTTAGGATTGTAATACACTGAGACTCTGACACAGAAAGAGGTTCTAGAGAGCTCTGTGGAACACATTGCTCCAGTTAAAACATTTAATATTGTTTCAGGTCTGCAGTTGTTGCCTCTCTTCTCCTTTTAAAAAAAAATAACAGCTAGTGAGATAAATTTGTATGCCTAAACAATACATCCATGATTTCTTAAGTTTAGTAGAGTTTTGAAATGCAGAGTTTTGGTGCAAAGAAAATGTACACAATCTCAAATCTTTGGGAATTTTTTGTTTCTTTATTTGTTTTGCAAACAACCAAGGTCTTTCTTTGGGCAACTCAACTATTTTCATCATTTACTTCTTGCTAAAATCCCTGGCATGCCAGTCACACAACTAGAATGCTGGATCTTGTGAACTACTGGATATTATTATCGGCTCACCATCAACTAGTCAACCAGTAGACACAAGTTACAGTGAATCTCCATCAAACTCTCTTTCTTAAGTTTCTTACCAGAGGACATCAGCCAGTTACACCCTGGCATGTGCCCACTGATGTGATCTTCTTGAAGCAATGGAACAGTATTTAAATGTTCTGCTATATTAAGACCACAAAGCAGTTCACTCTGAAAGCAGATCACACATGGCTTTTTATTCTGCTGCAGAATACTTAGCATTTATGTTAGCATTTTAGGTTGGATCAGGAGCATGCTTTTGAAGCAACTTTGCCAGTTCCCCACTTATCATCCTACAACTTTAATTTCAGAGTAATTTTGTACAAGTTATACTCCTCTCTGGTGAACCTAAACTTGAAGACTAGCGTATGCACTCCCACTCTAACAGGTGTTGAGGCTAACGGACCAGCTGAGCTCTTGCGGATCAGACCACTAACGCCATCTCATGCACATCGTTGCTCTCTTGGGCTGTGTAGCTGCTCTTGCAAGGATGTGCCACTTCCATAGACACAGCCTCAGCCAGAAACAAAAGGACCAGTCACCATGGGTGAAAGGATGCAGGAAGCACTGTAAAAAGTCATCTCTTTTTGAGGAATGTAACACAGGCGACAGAAGTAGGTATGCATGTCTGGAAAGGTTACAAAGCTTTTCAGAGGACACGATAAACATTAGCTTTCTCAGGATTTTATTGTGAAGTTTTATTTTCTGAGTCCCTGTACCTATAAGAATGCACACAATACCGTTGTTCTATAAACAAAAAGAATTGACAGACAGACAGATTCTTCAGTAAATTTAGTATATTTAACTTGAAAGAGACTGAGAAGCAGCACATTTGTCTCAAGAAGAAATGAAATGTGCAGTTATACCCATTTATCTCATGTGTATTGCTTGTGCCTTTCCATGCATGTTCCTAGTGGAAGTCATGCGTTTGAGCTAGCAGAGCCCAGCAAAAATGGAATTCTTGCTATACCCCACTCATACCCTAAACTCCGCTTGGTAACATACCATAAATAATCAGCCTTAGAATATATATGTACACCCCCCCCTACTAACTATGATGGTAATGAGATCTGACTATAAAGGAGATCTATAAAACAACTGCATGTTTATGGAAGGACTTAACATACAGGCACCTGAATATTTGTATCATCTAAGGTTTGTTTTAAAGGTGTTTCTGACAGAACACATATACGAGCCGACTCTGTCAACCTAACTGCAATAAGACCCTATGTTCTACATCTGTGTTTCGTACAGATGTTTTCTTAGTGGGGGGAAGTAGAAGAAAGCTCACATTATGATTAGCTAAATTGTCTGTTATCTTTCTTGTTAGTTCGGGCCAAGTTAGTGAAATATTTGGTATCAAAAGGTAAAAAAATATTAAAATCTGAATTGTAGTATTTGACTTTTTCCGCCCCTCTCCCTTGCCCAAGGCATTTCTCCTTTTGTGAAGGTGGCAAGGAATGGCAAGGAGCACAACAGAGGTGAAAAGAGAGAAGACCTGTAAAGGGATCCTGGAAGTGGAACATAACATATCAGCATTTAATGCCTTTACTCAGCTTGTTCCCTTGCAAAAACCTGCAGAATTTGGATTGCAAAGTACACACTAGGTAACCTTTACACCACAAAATGAATACATACTTGTTAAAAAGAAGTAGAAGAGATGCAGGGTTATGTATTAACTGTCTGGGAGGAATGGAAGTATTATGAGGACCCATCTCAGAAGCTTTGCTTCGAACATACACTAGACACAATGAAACCGTATCACATTTCAGTTACCATAGTAATGAAGTAATGTCTCTTCCATTCTCAATCTGCAAGTGATGCTTTGCACTCATGCAGGGTAGCATCTCTTTCAAGTACAAGATCAGAATTCAGAAAGCCACCAACAGTTGCACCACACAGAAATTATTTTAACCCTTTAAGTCTGATAAATAGTTCTAAACTTCTGTTTAAAAAATTAAACTAATTACATCGTATATTCAACCTGCCCTTCAGCAAAGCCACAAGCATTTTACTGAAACACCATTTTTGTAGTTTAAAACCACCTTATTCCAAGAAAGTCAAAACTGCACTTTGTTTCTTTAAAAAAATAATTGCTGCTGATGGGTCCAGAGGCATGTAAAAGTTCCTTTTTATTGCCCTCTATTTTTGGCTTGCAGGGAAAAAGTGAACTTTTCTGACTAGCTCCAAAACTTTGTCCAGAGGCTGGACTACGCTTCTCCAATTCAAGCCACTTTATAGTGATGGCAACAGTTCTGAATTAGACAAGTTGTCTACCTGTATATATACATACATAAAAAGAAAATGCTTGGAAATTTTTCTCCTTTGCAGAATTATGCATCTCTCTCTGCCCTTCATGACAGGCCATCTCAAAAAAAAGAAAAATGGAAGACATGAAAAGAAAAACTAATGTCTCAAATATATCAGAAAATATTTCACTGACATCACTCAGATCCTAGCATTCTGACAATTATTTTTTTTTTTAAGCTATTAGCAGAATTTTCAGGAGAGTATCGTACGAAGATATCCCAAAGCCAAGTACCAAAATACAAATCATGGGGATCAGAATCGAAGAAATCTCTTCTCTTTAGCTGGCAGAAAAACATGTTCTGCTAAATCCAGACCACATCTTTTTGGGATAGTTGGATTTGATATCCCAAATCCAAGTCTGAATGAAATATAAGT